TAAAAAATTAGCAACCGCCTTCTCCGGGAATCAAACCACGGACCACTCGAATATCGGCCCAGCGTGAAGACCACCACACGACGAAGGCACGCTGGGAAAGCGGGAGAAATTCCTTATATAGTCTCCTTTTTAAAGGGCGGCTGGGATTTGTAGGCAACACAATTGCCAAATCCTGGGTGTTGAGAATCCTCATCCAACACCCTTTTAGTTTCGGGCGCCACTGTAGAGCCATTAGGTTAATTGGGAAAGGCGGAGAGATAAAAAATTAGCAACCGCCTTAGCTGGGAATCGAAACACGGACCTCTGGAATACCGGCCCAGCGTGCAGACCACCACACCACGAAGGCACGCTAGGAAAGCGGGAGAAATTCCTTATAATGTTGTCAAATAAGAATTGCTTCATAAAACTGCATTATGCAAATTAGTGGCGCTTCAGTCAAAATACGTCATTTGCGAGGAGCATAAAATTGCGTCTTTTCGAGCAAGCCTGCGAATTTTTCTGTGATGTTGAAATAGCCAGTTTGTAGCAATGACCTCCAGACATCATTTGCATGAAGAACTGCGATGGAGAGCTACTGGGAGACTAGAGACAGGACAAAGTCAGATAAAGTTGCCAGTTGGCTCAATGTGAGTTCTTCTGTGGTTAGACTTAGGTAACAATTTCTAACGACAGATTCGGCATCTAGGAGGTTCAGTCAAGGACGGCCAACCGCTATGACGAACGTTGACGACCGATATTTGTTGCAACAAGAAATACAACCTCAACTCCGATGCAACTCAGATCCTCTCTTTTTGCAGCCACAGAAAGGTTGGTGTCAACGTCAGCCGTGCGTGGAAGGCTTCACAAAAGCGGTCTGTACGCCAGGCGACCAACCATTTGCGTGCCGCTCATGTCATGTTATAGAAGAGAAAGTTTGAGTTGTGCACATCAACATGTCCACTGGATAGCTGATAAATGGAGAGCTATTCTATTTACGGGTGAATACAGTTTAGTTTTTAAAGTGACAGCAGGATTTACTTAGAAAGAAACTCCAACCCATTGCCATCCATCAAACACCCATGAAAGAGATGCATACGGAGGAGGCAGAGTCTGAGTTTGGGGTGATATGTCATTAGGTGGACGCACAGACCTTCATGTCTTCCCATGTGAAACCATGAATGCTCAGGCCTATAGAGTTATGTGTGCGTTTATGCCGGGGCAATAGGTGAGAATTTTCTGCTACAGGACGGCAGCGCTAGACCACACATGATTTGCATCGTGGATGATTATTTTCAGCAACAAACAATTCGGCGCATGGAGTGATCAGTTCAATCACCGGACCTGAATCCCGTCGAGCATGTTTGGGATGCTTTACGAAGATGTATAGTCGCTCTCAATCCTCCTCTTCAGACCCTTACCACGCTTGCAACTTTGCAAGAGTAATGGCTCTCATTTCCTGTGGAACTGATAGACTGCATAACTGACAGCATCGCACATTGCTGTTTGTGTTGTATTGCTTCTAGAGGAGGTCCTACTCCATATTGAAGGTAATTTTCCTATACCAAACTGGCCCATCCTATTTGTTCGTTTTATACATGAGCTAATTTCTATAACATCATAATTGTACAGTAATTTCTTTTCATGTTATTCTATACCTTATTATGTTTTGTATACTGTGGGTCAGTTTCATTAAATTCTACATGTAACTTTTTGAGTAATCGTCATTTTCATGACTTTTCCTTAATTAATGATAACCAGTGTAGTTTCATTAAGGTGCCTGTTGTCGTATGATACCTCGGCGAAATATTTTAATATTAGTTGTAAATATTTTAATATTAGTTGTAAGTAGGTTTCTCCGAATGATTATCTAGCATGTTGAAAAGCAGCCATTAAAGGCTATTCGTTACAGACAATGATAAGTTGGGAAGGAGCAATTAAACGCACTTTATTGTTCTGCTTTTATAAAATAATGTGTCTGAATAAATGTTTTTTTTTCTTTTATTAGGAAAAACATTTAATAAGACATAAAAGGGATGTAACACAAAAATCAAAAGAAAATGTAAAGATGCGGATATAGTTTGCAAAAGTAATATTTAAATCGTATACTTGTTACGTCGGATACAAAAACATAATCTGTCATAAGATTTAAAATATGATATGTTATAAAAACTGCATATGTCTTCTAAAAGCAGATGAGAAAATATAAACAGATGAATTATAGTAAGAATATGTGTCTGAATGAAAACTTAACTGCTGTATTAAAAATGTGAAAAGAAAGCTAATAAAAATTATCGATATTTGAAGCAGAAAATTAGTAAGAAAACAAGTATTTATGTTATTATTGCTGATTAAAAATATCTGTTAAACTTTAAGCTGTTATTCAAGATAATTACATTTTATTTTAATTTATTGAAGATAGAAGAATCTTACTGATGTCTTCTCATACAATTAATAATTCTTAGGAGTAAATTATTTTGTAATATTTGATGCAAAACTTGCAATAGTATATTGATTAAACGATTGCAGCTTTTAAGTCTAAGACGCGATTTATTTCAATTACATCTCAACACGGAAGTACATTAACACATTTAGGTAGTATGCTGTACTTAATCAATTTGCAAGATATTTTTTCCTACTACGTAAGTTCAGTGAAACTAGCATAAAAAGTGAAGTTTCATCAATAAGAATAAAATCACATTGAATCTGAGATTGAATCTCGGACAAGGTTTGGATTCTTTGATCATCGTGTATGCGCGGAGCAAAGTTAAAAAATATATGAAAATTCCTTTCTCTTGTAGGCAGCAGAAGAAGGAAAGCGGAAGATTTTCTGATGCCATTCCATAAGGTGCTCAGTCATAATTCTGGCGGTGTTTTAAGCAAAAAGATATTGCCATCATGTGTGCCTACAGGTCTGTGATTAAAAACAAATGCATTAATCCCACAGCAATGATTTGATATTAGAATCGTCTTTACAGACATTCTTACAAATTCTGCGGATTGTTAAGTTACGTTAAATTACCGTCTATTTATCATTCGCGTGATGTAGAAAGTGTTACCGTAGCACAAGATGTCTCTCATGTGGCTCGAAGAGTGCCCTGGATATAATATCTTTAATTTATCTTTCAAACTAATTTCGTGTTACTAAATAAATGCACTACTCAATAGTTCAAGTCTATACCCTATTTTTAATAAGATATCTGATAGGCTTAATTTATCTAATATGTCAAACTGATAAGCCTTACAAATTTTACAGCGTTACTGTTAATACAAGATAGTTCAAATATAACCGGGACTACGTTTTTTAACCAAAACCTTTTCTGCGAATGAACATATTACCCTTAAAAATACTCCGTTTCAGAGATGATATACTTTTCCAACATTCTGAAAGCATTCTTATGCTCTTTCCATGGAAATTTTCAGTTCACTGTGAATACAATCCCGAACACTGGCGGTGACGGAGTCGTTATCCACAGATTGCATACCTTCCCACTGGGATTTAAGAAGAGACTCAAAATTCAACTTTATTCCCTTCATCTTCAAACCACCGTAAGAGAGAAATGGTGGCTTGAATGCTCATCACTTTGTTTTCCACTGTCAACATGCATGGAACCCCGTACACCTTGCCATAGGATAAATCCTTTTTTCGCAATGATTTCTATATTTAAAGCATCGAAGCTCTCTGTTAGTGATGCATCTGTTCTCAAGTATATCCGTATTTACTCGATCAATGTTTGTCGGGGCGATGGACGTTTCCAAGCGCTTTTGCCCGTCAGTAAAAAATTTACCCCTTTCAAATGCATGGTTCCCAGAGAAACACTGTTCTCCATACTGTGCTTGGAGTCTCTGCCGAATTTCAGACAACTGAGCGTTTCCTCGAACGAGAAATTTGCTCACAATGCGTCATTCTTGAAATAAGTTGCTGACAATGCGTTGTTCCAGCGAGAAATTTGCTCACAATGCTTTGTACCTGCGAGAAATTTGCTCACAGTGCGTTGTTTCTCTGAGACAGCTGTTATTCCTTCATCATTCTGGCTGATGCCAGGCACGACTGAGCAAAGTCTAATCTGCAAAATTGGGGGTGGGGATACCTGTAATCACCCAAGGATACAAAGCGTAATGGCATATAGATATGTGTGTGTAGTGATTTGCAGCAGCAACAACCCCGATTATATTTGAACCCCTTTGTGATAACAGATGTTTCTACAGCTATATATATATACAAGGTGAGAAATCATTTGAATTTTTCGAAACCCTTTTCTGAAGTACTTAGAAATTAACCTTTAGTAAATAGCAATCTGATTTATGCTGATAACAATAGATGTAAAACAGCTTAAAATGAAAAGACGTCTTTCAGTCATGATAGCCCAGGTTTCCATACATGATATTATGAAAATGTGGGCATTTTATTTTAAAAAGATTTTTCGGCATAATATTTTAATTAAAAAAATTCTCATTGTTATCATATATTTCATTTACCAGTAAGCTGTATGTTTAATTATTCCTTTTATAAATCTGAAAAATGTTTCATAAAAATAACCAAGGAAAAATAATCTGTGACCAAATAAATAAATAAACGTAAAAATTAGAAAATATTCTTTCAAAATATCACCTAAGAACTTCTGATATTTAGTAATTATTCTGAAATCAATCCTATTTGTTCAAGTGAAATTTGTAAGCTGCTGTCGGATGTTTAACACCGAATTGTACTTTACAAACATCATGCTTTAAAAAAAATATTCTCTTTTTTCCTATGATATTTTTTATTTTTAGGCTTCACTTTCTCTCAAAGGTCTGGATAAATACCAGAAAATATCAGTATACATATTTAACTAAAGATTAAAAGCAAAATTTTAAGAGATCTTAACAAGTTAGCCAATTTACACTTTAGCATATTTCTTAGCCTCATTTTGCACAGCAAACTCTATTAATATACTTAAAACCTGAAACATTTTAATCTGTAGCAGTTTTTTTTATTTTATTTATATATTGATATCAACAATTCTTTCATTTTAACATTCCAGGCAGCGCCGACAGAATGAAGGAGAAATCCAAAAACGCCGCCCGCTCCCGCCGAGAGAAAGAGAACGCTGAATTTCTGGAGCTGGCCAAACTACTTCCCTTACCGGCCGCCATCACTAGCCAGCTGGACAAAGCTTCTATTATTCGCCTCACTACTTCCTACCTGAGGATGAGAGAAGTCTTCCCCAAAGGTTAGTTGTCTCTTTCTTCGGTTTAAAACGCGCATGCCGAGCTAGGGCTTCAAATCCATGCATCTCAGTTTGAATCCTCAAAGGTCATGAAAAACTATTTTTGTTGGCTTCGACTTCAAGAGAGCTAAGTGCATTTTACATTCGAATGAGTTATACATTCGATAACTGCTATTAAATTTTAATATAAGTTTGTACCTCTTTAATACGATTTTTTTTTTGTTTGTTGTTGTTGTTGTTGTGTTTTTTGGCTCAGCAATTTGCATTATCCAGCCTGTTGAATCTGCGAATTAACATGTGGATGTGGGAACAAGGCAACATTATTAGAAGCACTTAAAATCTGTTTACACTGTGACAAAGTATTTAAATTTAAAGTCTTAAATTTATTTGTATTGTAAATCTTCAAGATGTCACTGAAAGATCAACAAGTGCAGAACACTGTGCTAGTAATATACAATAAAAAAAGCCAAAATTATTTCTATCCTATTCATATGGAATTATTGAAAAATTTAAGTATAGAAATATATGAAGCTATTTTTTTCCCTGTGTTACCTTCAGCTTTGTATAACTTAAATTTTAAATTTCGCTGAATATGAAAGCTAAAGCTGTTTAAGGTTGCAGATAACTTTGAAAGGTGCGTTTCGTGTCACAGCAGTTTGCAAGAGTGATGAGCTGGTAAGCCTAGGTCTTGGGCACTTGCCTTACTACTATGCAAGGATTTCTTTGCAAAAGAAGCTGATTTTTTTTTCGGAGGGTGGTTCAAAAATATCTGGCGTCTGATGTTGCTGGAAGAAACAACGGTATCTAGAGTCATCAAATTTTGAATAACCTAGTCCTGAGCCAGAATATGGGCACGTGGAATCCCAAATTTGGAATCTGAAATTTGTTTTTATTTGTTTTATATTTCATATTTTCAAAATTTTAACGAATGTTTGGTTAACAAATTCATCGATTTCAAAGCGAGCGATGGCAGCACTGTACAGAAAAAAAAAAAAAAAAAAAAATCCGTTTTATCTCCAGCGAGCGATACTGCCTATCGAAAATTCTAAAGCTATCAATTTTAAAATATTTTTAGCCCAAAGGAACATTAGCCGTAATGCTATAAAAACATGTATATGCGTGTAAATGAGAAAAACGCCCCTTTGGGTATAATATAAAATCTGAAAGTCACCAATTTTTTTGTTTGTTTTGTTTTTATTATATAAATTTATTGATCTCAGAATTGTGTGTTTCTCCCTTTCAATAGTTGATTAGTTCATTCAGTTAACGAAGTGCTCTTGATTTATGAAAACTTTCTTACTGATATAAGATAGACTGAGATTTCAATTCTTCTCCGAACGTTCTTTTTGAAAAACAGAAAAAAATGTAACATCAGAGTCAAATCATTTTCACAAGCTACTGCAGTTTTAAAATATGTGTAAGCAGTTGTAGTAAAATATATTTTGTAAGCAAAATGTAGCATCAGTTTTGGACTTTAAGGTAAGTTTCTGAGATAAGTGAGCTGTCTAGTAATATTTATTACATGGAAGCCAAGATCAAGAAAGAAATAATCTTGAATTTTCATTTCACCGTTAAAACTTAGTTTTAGAGAATTAAACTGTATATATTCTACATCTCTGAGGAAAAATGTATAAATATTATGAAATTGACTAATATATTTTTCAGCTAATCATATAAATTTAATTTTCTGCAGAAAGTGTGCTTTTTTATGTAAAAACATGTACCAAAAGATAGAAAGAAAGAAAAGAAAGATGCAATTTTGAGAGCGATATTTGACTGCATCCATGTTTATGCCGAGCTTTATAAACGATATTGCTTAAAAAGCAAATTCTAAGTTTTTGAAAAAACAATACATCATTTCAAAATCAACCTCTGGTTCATTATTCCTTCCACCAGATTTCCCACATGTTATGCCCATTCACTTATCTTCTATCAACTGGAAAATATACTTCAGAAGAAAAAAAAACATACACAGGAAGGACGCAAAAAAATTGGGGGGAAAGACAAAGAAAAATTCGACAATTGAGTCTCGTGCCCTTGTTATTCTAAAGCCATCTCGGAACACAATGGACAGCCCTTCAGCAAGAACAAGTACGATTAGTACCCCCTGCGAACATGATCACGTGCTTCCAAGTGGGATGCGGGCTCCATTCAAGGGGTCCGCGGGGTCAGGCTATTAGACCAACCACGATCCCGCCCTCAAGTATCTCCCTCCGAATTGCATATGTAGAATCTCAGTGGGGAGCTTTCGAAGGGTATTAGCCACCGCGATATAGCAATAAGTAAGAGGACAGAACTGGGTAGGAGAATACGAACTTGGGATCTTAACTAAATAGTGTGAATTCGGCTTTGTACATTTTGTGCCTTTTTTGTTAGCGTGCTTACTTGGGTTTTGTCATAATATCTTCTGATTCATGGTTTCTGATATTTTGTAGCATTTCAAAACGTATCTAAATTAGGAATTTATTATATATAAACAAGAAGAGAAATAATTCTTTCGAATGTAGTTATACAAAGACTGCCCACACAATTTTTACACGATTTTCATTGTATTTACCCAAATATTTTTGCTAAAATTTTGTGTTTTAAATGTTCTGTTTGGTAACCCTTATTCTTCACTATCTTTCTATACTGTAATTTCCAAGACAACAAAGCTTTTTTGTAGTATCGGAAAAGTATTTTATTCCATTCCTCTTGAATAGTTTTCCAAAGTCCAAAGAGGGTTGTAGGTTGACATTTGGACAATACGCTTTTTAAAAGTCCAAGAGCGCACAATTCCATGGTGATTCATCAGAATATTTAGTAGGGATATGAGTGAAAGGTATGGCTTTGATACCATTTTCTTGTTCTATTTTTTTTTTTCAGGAAATTATCAGTGAATTTTTATGTATGGCTGCTCACTTTGTCTTAATACGGTTCTATTGATTGATGGCCACTGCGGGTAAAGAGAAGATATTTCATATTTGAAAATTTAGATCTAAAATATGTGAATGATAATATGTAAAGTTGGTCTTAAGATTTTTCTCCACTCTCTTTATTTTTAATTTGCCGTTATACGAAAAACAAACAACAATCATCAGTGGCGTAGCTATAGCTAGGGTGGTGCAAAGGGGGACAACGTATAGAAGTTTCTCATAAAAAATTCTGGAGCTTGTTCTGCGTTCGTGGTTTGTGTTTAACGTTGTTTGAACAACCGGGTACCTTAGCATAGTGCTTTACTTCTTGTTGAATAGTCTTAACTGTCCCTAAATCATTAAAGCACATAACTGAAAAGTTGAATTCTAGTATATGAAGATTACGGCTACTAAAACTGTCAAAAATTTCGTAAATTTGTTAGAATCGAAATGTTTTTTGAAGACTAAAGTCATATAATCATCGAATTAGAGTCACGAATGCATATAGAGTAAGAAAAACTGCGATGACAAGATACTTACATGGAAATACGAACAAAATTGTGACAGTAAGTAAAATAAAAGAATGTGCTAAAGAGAAGCTTGATGGAAGAACATGAAATACAACGCAGAAGTTAAATTTTAGGTATAGCAAAATTCTTAACAAGCTGTTGAACAGCTGAGGTATATTCCGTACCCTTTCGACTCGCTTTCGAATTTAGGACCAGGCAGTGTGTTTATGATTGCAATGTCTTTGCAAACTGGGGTAATTTAAAAATTTGGAGACTGAAAAGTTCTTTCGGGATGATGATTCAAGGAAGATCTTGTGTTGCTCTCGATCCAAACTGGAAAAAACTTTATACTTATAACCCTCATACACCTTACCTATACTAAATAATCCAATTCTCCTTTTCACCTATTGCTAACTAAACACCTGTCGTTTTTAAGAATACGCATACGTTTCTGTGACTCTCAAATGACAGATTTTCTTTTTATGCAAAAGCGAAAAAATTGAAACAATAATTGAATTAAACTTTTGTTTTCTTTATTGAAAATAATTATTAAAGAATGTATTTCGTCAATGAAACAATTGCTTAATCAAGTGTGTTTCTCGTGACTAGACATTATCTACCTCCAGATAATGAGTCTTTAAAAACGCTTCTGTGTAGTATAAGAACAAAGAGGTGTTATCTGTATCCATAGAAAAGGTGCGATGAATATTATCTGCGGTTACTTTCTCAAAACTATATATACTGTTTCAACACATAGGATAAATAGTTAACGTAAACTTATACCTGCCTTAAAACAGCAGGGATAATTATGAAGAACTTGGGTTTTACATTTTGTCTTTTTCATTCCTTGACGATCATCACTCCTAGCCTTGCGCTAATCTTGTAACAATTATTACTAAATTTATTAACAGTAAACTGAATATTAAACATTTAACATTAAATTTACTAACAGTAAATTTAATGTTAAATTCTATCCTATTTCTTCTTGGTTAGTCACGGTACTCTTTGAGACCAGAAATTTGTACAAACTGAATGAAAAATGGTATAGTTTAAAAGTAACGATGTTAGTTTTAACAGTGGGCCTGGTAGAGTTTGCAATCGCTTTACTGCCGCCTTGCCTTTTTAAGTCTCCTGCAGGAAAAATCGTTAGGTATTGGTAACACTAAGTATATTGTTACTACTTACATAGTATGTTAGTACTTAGTATATTTCAAATCCAATCCGATCCAGGTATAACAGTCAGGTTAGTTTAATACTTAGGCTATTGCGGTAAATAATAAATAACTGTATCATAATTTACGTACGAGAAAACTCATATTAATTTACATTAATATTTTAAATTTTAGAACACTCGCAAAGAATGGCTAATAAAATTCTGTTTAATTCTTCAGTAGTATTTATATGCTGTGTTAATATGAGGGTTGGGGCAAAAGTCATGGCAACTATTTTTTTCTTGTAGATATGTGAACGGATCACAAAACGTATATGTGTCGTGGGGAAGTTCTGCAGCCATAGTGTGTATGCAGAACAACAGATGGCTTTGTGGTAGCTGGCTCTGTGGTAGCGAGGGCTCTGAAATCAGTCAGTTGGTGAGTGTCGG